GCCTCAGTCCCCCAACAGCCTGCGCGGCCCTTGGTAACCCGGGCGAGGACCGAGCCGGTATAATTTTCGATGACGTCAATACCAGGAGTGGCACGTGGCTGACTTTTGCGGAGACTTGCCACGGTCTCCAACCTTCAGCTTTTTCATCCGGGCTTGGAACCGGCAGTTTCGGAGTTATGTTGGGTATGAATACCTTTACCTCATATGCATAAGAACGTAACGGTCATCGTGTGTGACGATTCGCGTGCTGTTATGCTGTTTATCGTCTATAGCTGCAGAAATATTGTTGAATATTTTGTCATTGTGGTTTATGTGATAAAAGTATTTTTATTTCAGGGGTCCACCGTGCAAAGACAGGCAAGCTGTAAGGAGCGGGTAAGTTTCGTAATGGCATAAATTTATTTCGGGTCTTAACCTCATGCTACTGTATTTGCAGGCCAAAGAATTTCCAACCTACAAGGACAACGACTTTCTCGAAGAAAAGTGTCAGTTGTATTTATCGGAAGATTCCATGCAAAGGCTCATCGAACTTCTGATGGCTGATACGGAGGTAGTTTATGAACCTTTCCCGTGCAACACCTCAAGTTTTTATTTCAAGTGCACTTTTTAATTTTTGCCTAAGTTACGAATATACTTCGTACCTGCACAATGGTTGATATTTGTTTAAATTCTGGAACAGCTTAAGATCGTAATGTATGACTTTTAATAGTTAAGAGTCTGAAAGTTTTAGAATATTTTCAACGGATTAAAGTTATTAACTTGAATAGTTATGGTGACTGTCAACACTAAATAATTTCGTCGTAGATTGCAGCTGTAAATAACCCACAATATGGTTATAAAATATGAGCAAAAAATACTTTCATGTTTTCACTGTCTCATGATCAGGCCATTGTCCGATTTAGTTAGGGTATTATTTAATTTACCTCATTTTAGATTGTAAAAGTTAGTTAAATAGAAACATGAACATGCGCTTTTCAGTAAGCAATAGAATTTAAATATACAGAGCAAAAGAATAAATGAAGAAACATTTTAAGCATCCAAATAATCGAGATAATGATGGATACCTACCTTTTGCCAGGTAGGTCAAAAGATTACTGGCATCGCTAAGAATGCGAATCGTATGTGGGAACTTGCTGCGACCGTTAACCCAAGGAAATTGTTAGATGGGTATTGCGATGAACGAGGTGGACCATTTCAAATGCCTCGGATCGATCGTTATTAACGATGGCGACCTTGATCCTGAAGTGAATCGGCATCTCAGGCTGGTATAAGTGAATTGTGGCAGTCTATGTACCATGTGGAAGGATCAGACTTGAACGACGAATGTGAACGTCACCATGCTCAGAACAGTCGTATTGGCGATCTTGACGTAGTGTCGAAGCATCTGCCATCTTGTAGCATCATGAGGACAATTTCAAACAGTGCTGTTTACGTAATATCTTCCAAGTTCGATGTGTTAGGAGGATGCAGGTCCTGACAACCACTGGTCTGACAACTATCATAAGAACTCGAAGATCTGTGCCTGTCTTGGTTTAATACGACTGCCTGATGAGAGAACAGAAGCATATTCAAAACTTTTATCGCTTTGAAGTTTTTCAATGGCCGTAGACGCGTTAGAGGACAATGCGAAACTCGGAAGCACCTCGTTGAAGTAGTTCTGCTAGCGAAAAGATATATGACCAATGGCGCAGCAGAAAACATTGACTAATATCCATCTGAAGTACCATTTCAGGCGATGAGGCATCCTGAATCTAAGTTAATCTGCTGTTTAAGCTGTGTTAGCCTCAGAAGACTGACAAAATAACGATGACAGGAAAGACTGTTCGACACTGGACACGAGACCAAAAAGTCTTTGCACTTAGCTGATATAAACTTGTTTATTGTTATCATTTGCATTGTTGTAATTTACAGATTGGCGTTTCAGATATGTCAGCTGTTTCAAATCTTGCGATTCTTGTCTTGTACGTCGCACTACTCTCTTCATCGGGGTAAGGCTCAGCTAAACAACATTCATCTTCTATACATTGATATCTTATGATATCATATGAAATTGTGAACACGTTCGTTTTCTTTAATTCGCCGTCCGGTATTTTTTCCAAGTTTTCTTGCGGAGTTAAAGAGCGAACATTTTCGCTTTAATTT